TGATCAAAGTTTAATAATGTAAACATGGAGTACTGAGGTAAAGATAGTCAAGTACAACAAACAAAATGGGGAAAGATAAAAGAGATTCACATAAATCTGAAAACACCCTGTGTGACAGATATGATATAAAATATTAACACACAAAGAAAAGCTACACATCAAAAATTTTATTATAATAGTTTATTTTCTGCCTAGGAGGAAATGCAATTGGAGATTCAAATTACACTATACCCATATATTAATTTCATATTGACTATTCAGTTAAATATAAAAATAAAATTTGAAAACATATAGGATAAAACAATGGGAGAATTTTAAAAAATGATTTTATGACTTTGCACTAAAAAAGCCTTAAACCAATTCAGAAAAGCACAAAGCTCAATAACCACAACAAAATTGTAACTTTTACTACCTTATAACTGAAATGTTTTCATAAAATTTAATATAAGGAAAATATTTTTAACAAATGTAATTTATGAAGGCTTAGTATTCATTCTCCAAAAACTAAACCAAACTCACTGCCATTGAGCCAATTCCAACTCATAGTGAACCTATAGGTGTGGTAGTTACATAATCTGGTGCCCATTTGAGAGGATTATGAGTGCAGGAGTGGAGTTTGGCCTGCCAATCAAGAGCTAGCCAATGAAGCCTTGGTGTGGGGATGACCTTCTCCTGAGAATTCTGGGAACTCCTGTATTCCTCCTTGGAGGCAGGAAACACTTTCCTCTCTCTGCTCACTCTCTGGAAGACATTGCAGTTGACAGGACACATGGAACTACGCTAGTGCCAGGAGCTGGAGAAGCCACGTGGACCTACCCTGATGCAACCAGACCTAAGAAGCCTGAGAAGCCACTTACAGACCCCTGCCAGCACTGAGATGCTTACAATGCCACTGGATCCAAAGACTTTTGACCCACTGGCCTGTGATTGTCCTCCATTTGGTGTCATTGCCTATGTTTCATGAATCTGAAGAGGACTTTATAGATTGGTATCCGACATATGAGATAATATTGGACTTATCAGCTTGGACTGACCTCGGTTGGGATGCTTTCTTAATGTATTACCCTTTATATAAAACTCTCTCTTATACACGAGTTTCTATGGATATTTTTCTCTAGTCTACCCAGACTAACACAATAGAACAGAGTACAACTGCCCAAACGAGTTTTCTATTCTGTAAATCTTTACAGAAGGAGAAAGCCTCATCCTTCTCCCGCAGAGCACTTGGTTGTTTTGGACAGCTGATCTAGTGGCTACCATTCCAACATGTCACCACTACACCACATTCTTACAAACCAATTACAAAGATAGGCCACCATCCAATATATGGAAGGAGGAAAAACAGAAAATACAAACTGTTCCCACAAAAATAATTAAAATAAGCTTTAAAGCCCATGGGTGTCTAGCTGTTCTAACTCATAGAAACCCTACACAGGTTTCCAATGCAGTAACTGTGTGGGGACAGACAGGCTCATCTTTCTCTTGTGCTGAGTGACCGGTGAGTGTGAACTGCTGATGTGTCATTAGCAGCTCAAAGCCTAATCCACAGCACTATCAGGGGTCCATAAAATATGCCCAATCCTATTAATAATTGTGCATTAAAAATTATAATTGTGGGTTAAAAATTATAATGAAATACAAAAATTTGAAGAATCTAATAATCTACAGTGGGGAAAGGACATCTTTTTAATGTTATTAGGTGTCATGAAGTGGTTCTGGTTGTGGCACTGGCTACCCCTGTGCACAACAGAAGGAAAGGCTGCCAAGGCCTGTGCCATCCTGTCGTGTCGGAGCCCATTGCAGTCACTGTGTCAATCCAACTCCGTACAAGTCTTCCTCTTTTTCACGGTCCTACTTACCAAGCATGACACTTTTTCCAGAGTCTGGTCTCTCCTTACAACATTTATAAAGTCTCACCATCCTCACTTCTAAGGAACATTCTGGTTGTGCCACTTCAAGGACAGATTTTTGTCTTTGATGGTTTTGTTTGTTTCTTTGTTTTTTTTTCAGTCCATGGTACTTTCAATATTCTTTGCCAGTACCATAATTCAAATGCATTGATTCTTTGTTAGTCTTCCACATTCGATGTCCAACTTTCACATGTATATGAAGTGATTGAAAATACCATAGGTTTGGCCAGGCAAACCTTAGTTCTCAAAGTGACATCGTTGTTCAACACATTAAAGAGGGGTTGTGTAGCGGATTTGCCCAATGAAATGCATTATTTGATTTCTTGCTGATTCCGCGAGCATTGGTTGTAAATCCAAGCAAGATGAAATTCTTGACAACTTCAATCATTTGCTTTATTTATCATGTTACCTATTGGTTAACTCTGAGGAGTTGGGTTTTGTTTTTTTGGTTTCTACATTGAGTTGTCATCCATAATGAAGGTTGCAAACCTTGATCTTCATCAGCAAATTCTTCAAGTTCTTCTCACTTTCAGCAAAGCTATCTGCATAACAGATTGCTAATAAGACTTCCTCCAACCTTAATGATACAATTCTTCCTCAGATAGTCTAGTTTCTTGGATTATTTGCTCAGCGTACAGTTTGAATAACTATGGTGAAAGGATACAACCCAATGCGCCCCTTTCTTGATTTTAAACCAGGCAATATTCCCTTGTTCTTTTTGAAGGAATGCCTCTTAATAAAGGCACAGATTCCACAGGAGCACAATTAAGTATTCTGGAATTTCCATTCTTCTAGAGGCTACCCATAATTTGTTATGAGACACACAGTCAAAGGCCTTTTCATAGTCAGTAAAACTCAAGGAAACATCTTTCTGGTATTCTGTACTTTCAGCCAAACAATCATCTGTTGCCAGCAGTGATATCCTAGTTCCAAGTGTTCCTCAGAACCCAGGCTGAATTTCTGGCAGGTCCTTGCCAATGTACTGCTGCAATCATTATTGAATAATCTTCAGCAAAATGTTACTTGTGTGTGATATTAATGATGCTGTTCAACATTCTGTGGGGGTTCTCCTTTCTTTCGAATAGGTACAACTCAATATCTCTTCTGGTCAGTTAGCCAAGTAGTTGCCTTCCAAATTTCTTGACATAGAGTAATGGTTGCTTACAGTGCTTCAGTAGCTTTTGAAACATTTCCATTGGTATGCCATCAATTCCTGGAGCCTGTTTTTGGCTAATGCCTTCAGTGCAGCTTGGACTTCTTCCATTGATACCACTGGTTCTTGCTCAGATGCCACCTCTTGAAATGGGTGAATAGCAATTCATTCTTTTTGTACAGTGATGTTGCATTCCCTCCCTCTTCTTTCGATGCTTCCTACATCATTCAATATTTTGACCATAAAATCTTTCAACATTTCAATTTTAAACTTGACTTTTGTCCTTTTTGTTTAAGATATGCTAAACATGTACTTCCTTTTTTGTTTCCAGGCCTTTGCACACTTTATTATCATACTTGACTTTGTCTTCTTAAGCTTCCCCTTGAAGTTTTCTATTGAGCTCATTCATCATTTCTTCATATGCTTTAGTTACTCTATGATCAAAAGCAAATTTCAGAGTCTCTTCGAACATCCACTTTGATCTTTTCTTTTTATGACCTTTGGCTTCATGAATAATGTTCTTGATATCATTCCATAATTTATCCAGTTTTATGTCATTAATATTCAACGATTCAAATCTATTCTTGAGATGTTCTAAATCCAGGTGGATAGACTCAAGTCCATATCTTGGCTCTGGTAGACTTATTTTAATTTTTCTCAACTTCAACTTCAACTTATACATGATGAATTGAATTGATAGTCAGTTCCACAGTCAGCTCCTGGCCTGGCTGTCGCTGCTGATATTGAGCTTTTCTATCATCTCTTCCCACCAATGTAGAGTCAATATTATTTCTGTGTATTCCATCTGGAGAAAACGTGTGTAGTAACTATTTATGTTGTTAAATTCTGGGTAGGAAATGACAATTGGAAAAAATGTGCACATTATTTCTTTGCTACTTTATTAATAGAGATCAGTCCTTGGAGAGGGACATCGTTCTTGGTAAAGTAAGGGGTTCGATAAAAAGAGAGAGATCCTGAACTAAATGAACTGATCACAGTGGCTGCAGCAATTAGTTCAAGTACAACAATTGGGATGTTCCATGACCGGGCAGTGTTCTGCTATACTTTAGAGCAGACTCTGACATTTGGCAAACAAAATTATTCCCTTTTAGGATTTTATTATTTTGATTTACTATGATTTTTTTACTAGTTATTGAGAGGTGACAGATAAGTTAATCAGGGAAGATGAAATAAAAAAGGAAAGTAAGAGTGGTTCTCCAAATGAAAAGCAATCAACCAACCAATGCTGGTTTAAAAGAAGAAAGGATCAATGAGCCAGGGAATGGAGACAGCTTCTAGAAGTGAGAATGCCCAGCCCCAGCCCTTATCTGAGAGCTGGCAAGAAAACAAGGACCTCAGATAGATAACAGTATGCAATGGACTCCTGCCAGTAGTTTGAATGGGTCTCAAAGTCAATTTAGTCCGCATACTTCTAGAGACACAGGTCTGCTGGTAACTTGATTTTAATTTTCTGAGACCCACAACAACATACGCAATAAGAAGAGTACAGCCACAGCAAGCCCTGACCTCTGATCAAAAGAATCTTTGAAACAATAAACTGGAGACCTGTTGGCATAGTGGCTATGAGTTAGACTGCTAACTGCGGACCTTGTGAAACCACCAGCTGATTCAAGTGGAAAGGTAAGCCTCCCTACACTCACAAAGAATTAGAGTCTGGAAACTCACAGGAATAGTCTGTCTTGTCCTATAGAGTTGCTATGAGTTGGCATCAAATGGATGGCAGTGAGTTTGAGTTTTTTGAGTTTAAGCTACTAAGTTTATGGATATGTGTTATAGTAACAATAAAAAAGTCATGAAACAACAAAAAATTGGCTAACTGCTATTCAATTATTTACAAACAGAAAGACTTCACATTTGGAGTCATAACTAAAATCAATATATTTAAATGTTTTAAATATGAAATATGAAAAAGTCACCTTTCTCGTTAAAAGAGCTAGCTCATTTTCTGAGGACTGTGCTTTCTTCAGTGCTTCTGTCACTTCCCCTTCCTTCTCCTCAATATCTATGTTAGCTTCATCTATCGACGTGAAGTACTGAAGACAGAGTTTGTTAAGTTTGTCCATCTCCTTCCTAAGAGAAAAACACATTTGATTTTATCCATGTGGGAAACTTGTGCAGTAAAAAAAAAAAAAAGTGAAGGGGAAATACACATGGATTCAGCTTCTGATGAATTCCATCTGTCCAAAAACTAAGGATGTCAATAGCGTGGCTCTCATCCAGAATGCATAGGAGAGTGGATTATTGCAGATACCAATAGGTTAAATTTAACACCTTATCATCTGGTCTTGACCCAACTTAAACTTGTTCTAGTTTTTAATATTTTCTGCTTTCTTTTCAATTGGGGGTTATTGCTGTTAGTTTTTGAAACTTGTTTTTCTGTATATGAAATCAGGATAGATAAATCTATAGAGACAGTAAATGGATTAATGGCTGCTTGTAGTTGTGGCAGAGAAAGTTGGAGGTGGCGGAGGGTGGAGGGTGGGGGGGGATGGGGAGCTAAAAACGATGAGGAAAAGAACAAAGAAAATTCATGAACAAGTTCTCAAAGTGATTGTAGTGATGTGATTGAACTATTGAATTGCATGATATGTGAATAATATACCAATATAACTGCTAAGAAAATAAAAATATATTTGTGTCTGATCTAACCGTATGAATTAATGCACTTCATTTATTCCCAAAACTTCTCCCATCCCAGAGTAGCTTCCCAGTTCCTACAGAGCACCAGGAATCCTTGGTTGGCACAAACAATTAAGTGACAGACTACTAGCCACTCGTGGTTCAAACCCACTTAGAGGTGCCTTAGAAGACAGACCTTGTCAAGTGCATCCTGAAGGTCTTACTCTTGAAAACCCTACGATGTTGTACTACTCTGCATACATGGGTTTGCCACGTGTTGGAATCAACTGAGTAACAACTAGTAACAACCATTCAGAGACTGGCTGAACTAGGATTTATGGTTCCAAAGGAAAGGTTTTGTGAAAATACATGTCTAATAAACAGAATTAGCACCTTTGAGAAAGGCACAAAAAATGCAAAAAAAGAAGAGAAGAAATGAGAAAAGAAGGTAGAGATCATTATAATATTAATTTAGTATTGGGGATAAAATGTGGGAACTTACTGCATAGTAAAATAATGAGAAGTGATTGACAAAGAATTCATTGTATCTGTGTGATCCTCCACAAAATATCTGTGGATCACATAATTCATTTATCTTACTTAGGAGATAGACATTCCAGTATTAAAGTAGTTAAATGTAAAGAAATTATTTATTTGGTTTAATGTAGGAAAAAACATTGCGGAAAATATAACATGATCATTTTTGTAAAATGTCATAACATAATTCAAACAATCCCAACAAAATTTTAGATCTTATCAACAAAGGGAAAAGTCAAATAGACTAGGTTACTTATTTGCAACTCACATAGGACACTCTAGTCCATATTTTGAGTCAAATTTATAGAAATGAATTTCTATAGAAGAAGAATAAAACAGCACGAGACAAATGAACAAAGGATATAAGTAAGTAATTAACAAGAAAATAAATGTAAAGTACTACAAATATGTGGCATGCTTATCAAATTGATTGTTTCCTATGCACCAACTCTGATCAGAATTCAAGGCAAATAAAAATGAAATACACAACTTGACCACAAAGATGAGAATTAAGGCAATAATTGCTAGGCAGAAACAAAAACGATTGACCAAAAAGGGTGACATAATCTAGTCCAGATTAGTATCGCAATTCAGTGATGGCGTGGAGACAGCATAGGTGTTGGGGCCACACTGCAGCAGAAGAAATGACGGCAGATGTTGATGTTCTGAATATAGTGTTTGCACCACCTAGAGACTCCTGGAATTTATACACACACACAAATTTACATAAATCATATATGAGAGGGGACCCAAAAAAGTGGGGAAAAAATTTCAAGCTATGACTAATATTTTTTTTACAAAATAAACGTATCACCTTCAAAGTACTCGCCATTACACTTTACGTTTATAAAATCTGCGATTCCATTCTTGGAAACATTTTTCAAACTCATCTTTGGATGGCTGACGGCACTTCCCTCATTTTTTCATTCACCTCTTCTATATCTTCAAAACACTGTCCTTTTATGTCCCTCATCATTCACAGAAACAAAAAGAAGTCACAAGGAGCAAGGTCAGGTAAGTAAAGTGCATGAGGCAAGAGAGGTATGCAGTTTTTTTGGCCACAAACTGGTGCACTGAGATGGCTGAGTAAGCAAGTGCATTGTCGTGGTGGCAAAACAAGTCCCCCACCTACCATACATCAGACCTTTTTCATCACACGCTGTTACAAAGTCTTTTCATAATGTCTAAATAGAAAGCTTGATTAACAGTCTGACCTGGTGAAACAAATTCCAAGTGCATTAAAAGTTAACAATTTTGTCCAGTCAGAAAATTGATGGATGCTAAGATCGAGGTTTGTCATCAATCAACATTTCACCTTTTTTGAAACAAGAAAACCACTTGTACACTTGAGTCTTTCCCATAGCACTGTCCTTGTAACCTGTGTTAAGCATCACAAGAGTTTCTGTGGCATTTTTCCCAAGTAGGAAACAAAATTTCACAGCCATACACTGTTATCTTAAATTGGCCATCACAGAAAATGAGGTTCAAGCAAAACTGCTTTTACAAAAAAATTCACTGTGACCAGAGAGAACATTCACAGGCAACACAACTGGGTGTAAGAACTCAGAGCCAGATGCTTCTTGCCTAGAGGGGAAAATGTGCAATTCCGGGTTTTGGGGGTACCCCTCATACATGAGTTTGTATACGCGGGGCTGCTCCCCCCAAACCTGGAAAAAGTTCTGCTGAGCAGAACTTTCGTAATACGCATTTTTCTCACTAGGCAAGTGTCCAGCAACTCACTCTGAAACAGTGCATCAAGTGGCGTCATCAGAGAAATTTCTCTCTGGTTACGGTGGATTTTTTTTGTAAAAACAGTTTCACGTGAACCTTGTTTTTGTGATGGCTGATTTAAGATAACAACATACAGCTGTGAAATTTTGTCTCCTGATCAGGAAAAATGCCACTGAAACTGTTGTGATGTTGAACACAGCTAACAAGGACAGCTCTATGGGAGAAGTTCAAGTCTACAGGTGGTTCTGGCTTCAAAAACAGTGAAATGTCAGTTGATGATAATCCAACTTCTGGACATCTGTCAACTTCCTGGGCTGACAAAAATGTAGACCAAATTCAAACACTTGTGTTCAAAGACCGATGGGAGACCTTTGAATAGATGGAGAAGTTATCTGGATTATCCTGGAGCTTGGTTCAGCGAATTTCAATGGAAGATTTGGGAATGAGAAGGGTCGCTGTGAAATTTGTGCTTCAGGTTCTGACTGACTAGCAACAATAGTGTCGAGTGGAAGCAGGACATGCTTTGAAAGAACAGCTATAAAGTTACCCAGACATTTTTCCAAGGCTATTATTGGTGACAAGACATGGTATTATTCTTACAACCCCAAAAGCAAACATCAATCGAGCCAGTGGAAGACGCCATCAACACCTTCCCCAAAAAGCTCCTCAAGTGAAATCAAAGATCAAGACAATATTCATTTGCTTTTTTGATGTGAGGGGTATAGTACATTTAGAGTTTGTTCCACCAGATCAGACTGTTAATTTCGTTTTCTATTTAAAGGTTCTGAAAAGATTGCATAACTGTGTAACAAAAAAAGTCCTGATTTGTGCCAGACAGGAAACTGGTTTTGCCACCACTACAATGCACCTGCTCACACAGCCATCTCGTGTGCCTGATTTTGGCAAAAACACCATGCTTCTCTTGCCCCACACACTGTACTCACCTGGCTTTGAGTCATGCAACTTCTTTTTGCTTCCACAAATGAAGAGGGACATGAAAGGACAGTGATTTGAAGATGTAAAAGAAGTGAATGGAAAAACAAAGGAGGTGCTTCAGCCACCCAAACAGATGAGTCTGAAAAATGTTTTCAATAGTTGAATCATAGATTTTACCAATGTATTAAGTGTAATGGAGAGTACTTTGAAAAAAAATAAATACATGATGTTTTAAAAAATAATAAATTCTGGGTTTTTTGGTGTTATCTCCTCATATATGTGTGTGTGTGTGTGTGTGTGTGTGTGTGTATGCCATGATAGAGATATGGGCAGTTTCATTTTTATCTGATATTTTTGCATGGGAAGGTAATTTTAATGAATATTTTGTTTTGAAAAGGAGAATTCTTAAATTCTCTAAGTACCATTTGTGAATTATTCTTACTTATACATTTCCAAGTTTATTTCATTATGTCTAATATCTTTATCCATTTCTGTTTTAATCTGTTCGCCCTTCACTTTGGCACTTTCACAGTGTTCTTTAGTATCTTCAAGTTCTCCATGAACATGTTTATACCGTTCCATTGCCTAGAAAAGAAAAAGATTTTCTTGTTGATACACTGAAGAAAATCAGACAAGTGAAAAGTCAAAGAAAGAACTTAAGATTATGATAGCATCTTAGTTATTTGGTGCTGATGCCCAAAGTTGGTGATTAGAAGAAGCAGAAAGATATTTTCTCAGCGTTTAGGAAGGAGAAGTCCAAATTCAAGGCGCCAGCTCTAGGAGAAGGCTCTCTCTGTGTTGAACGTCGGGAAAGTCCTTGTTTCCCTGGAGCAGGGCAGTCTTCGGGTGGCATTGTCATCTCTCTTCTCCTATGCGTGCTTCCTTGCCTGTGTGCCTCGGCTGCTCTTTTATAGTTCAAAAGTGATGAGGTTGAGACATACCCAATACTGACAAAGAAAAGGTTATTCCCAAATGGGATTAAATCCAAAGGTATAGGGGGTTAAGATTTACAAAACCTATTTTGAGAGGACATAATTCAATCCACAATAGATGGTTTTGATTTAGATGAAATATTCTTTGCACACATTTCCATCTTTTGTTTAGCTTATTGCTTGTCATAGTGGAGTTTCACATTTTAGAAGCTAGGATGGTGAGACTTCCTCTCATATACCTGGAACATATTAACTGGTTCCTACAGATGGACATCATGTATGGTAGTTAAATAATTTGTTGTCAATTTGAGACTTAAGAGTGAAGGGGTGGAGTTTAGCCTTTCAGACAGGTTGCAGCTTGATGACCTCATTTGGAAGCTCTAAGGAGATAAACAGCTCACTGGAGGTGGGGCACATGGAGCTTCTTCAGAGCCCTGGAGCTGGAGGAGCCACGTGGAGACCCCTGCCAGTGCTGAGATGCTTCCACTGCCACTGGACCCACAGACTTTCGACCCACTGGCCTACATTTGGCCTCATTGTATGTGTTGTGTGAGTCTGAAGAGGAATTTATAGATTGGTATTGGACAAATGGCCTAATATAGGACTTATGGACTTCATCTGGACTTGGCTGGGATGTTTTCTCAATATTTGAGTGCTGTTGTATATAAAGCTCTTTCTTATACACATATAAATGTCTCAGTCTCTGGATTTGTTTCTCTAGTCAACCGAGACTAACACATCATGATTGGCAAAGTAGAAGGTAAATAAAAACTTGAAGAAAGAAAAAGAGGAAAACCTTCAACATGATGGATAGACACAGTGGCTACCATAATGAGCTCCAACTTCTCAATTGGGTGAATAGTGTAGGACTGGCCAGTATTTTGTACTTCTGTATATACCTCACTATGAACTGAATCCAATTCAACAGCATCTAAAAACAATCCTCACAGTAATCTTTGATCAGTTTAAACATTATTAGAGTTATTTTAAAAATGAAATCTCTTCAATATTCAAGCTAGCATATTCAAAATAAAATTATTTTTTCCTTCACCACTGCCTGTTAAATTTTGTAGTTTTTATTGTTCAAATAATAATGTATTGTAGAAAATTTAAAAGCTAGAAGAAGAAAAGAAATTGAAATCATCTCAATTCCCTCCTCAAAGAGTAACCATTATCATCTTCATGTAATGGTTCAAAATAATTAAAAGTTGCATTTTTATTAAATAATGAATATCATAATTAATTCTTCCCCTCTCTTTCTCTTTTCTATCTATCTAGCCAGCTAACTATATCCACTCATCCATTCATCTATCCATCTCTCCAGGACATTACCTTCCCTAATATAAAACATTATAATTCAACTCCTCTGAAATTTTTAGATTACACGCAACTCACTATGAACAACATGATGATGAACACCCAACATAAGTATGACTTTGATAGGGAACAATAAATGTTATACAGAAAAGCCCATTCTTTACAACTTTTTTTCAATTACATTCCTAAAGATTAAGAACATATTTGAATATATCCTTAATATATATTTGAATATACTATTTCTTGGTATCTTCTCCTAGCTCATTAGGTATGTCATTAGTGCTCAATGCAGCAAATGTTTGCTTGAAATTCAGGTGGGATAGATTCCAAGTCCTATTTTGGCTGTCATGGACTTTTTAAAATTTTCTTCAGCTTCCATCTGAACTTTCATATGAACAATTGATGGTCTGCTGTAGAGTCAGCCCCTGGACTGCTTGTAGCTACTAATACTGCGCTTCTCCACTGTCTCTTCCGACAGAAGTAGTCCATTTGCTTTCTGTGAGTGCCATCTACAGAAGTCCATGGTTATAATCACCCCTTGTGTTATGAAAACAAAAAGTATTTGCTATGAAAAAGTCATTGGTCTTGGAAAATTCTATCATGCTATCTCCAGCTTTGTTTCTATAACCAAGACCATATTTTCCAACTACTGTTCCTTCTTTTCCAACTTTTGCATTGCAATCACCAAGATTTATCAATGCATGTTTGATCGATTTCACACTGAAGATGTTGACAGAATACTTCAGTTTCTTTATCAATAGCTTTGGAGGTTGGTGTGTAAACGTGTACAATGGTTACTTGATTGGATTTCTTTAAGGCAGATAGGGATGATCCTTTCACAGACAGAACTAAACTTCAAGATAGATCTTCTGTCCTTTGTGAAATTAAGGCAAAGCCATTCCTCTCGATTGTGTCATGCATGGCATATTAAACCATGTGATTTTCAGATTCAAAATGTCCAATATCAGTCCATTTCAGCTCACTAATGCTCAGGATATCAAATGCTATGCATTCACTTTCATACTCTGTATATTTAAAGTTCTGACTCGTAGTATATTTTTGCAGTGGTTTCTTCTCATTTTGAGTTGTCCCCCATCAGCCCAGGAAGGCTTTACTCCCAAAGGTTTTACTCCATTGACGTTAATTTACTTTGAGAAAGTAACTCCTCCTCTGTCACGTTTCTAGTGCCCTCCGACCTCAGGGCCCATCGTCTGGCACAATCTCTGACAATGTTCTGCTTCCATTCATTAGGCCTATACTATCTGACAGGGACATTGGTGGTATAGCGGTTATGGTTTAGGTTGTGATCCTCAAGGTTGGCAGTTCGAAATGAACAGGAACTTCATGAAAGGAAGACTGAGGTTTCTACTCCCATAAACAGTTACAGCCTCAGAAACCCAAAGGGGTCACTGTGAATCAGTACTGAGTTGATGGCAGTGAGTTTTTGGTTCTGGTTTTGGTTAGTATCTGCCAATGGTTCAAAGCTATGCATAAGGTTTTCAGTGGCTATTTGTTCTGGAAGTTGGTAGCCAATTCCTTCTTTGTAGTCTAGTCTTAGTCTTGAGGTTCCACTGAAACATGTTCACTTTGGATTACCATGCTGGCATTTGAAATACCTGCTACCTAACTTCCTACATTACAGCAATACACAAGCCACCACAGTATGACAACTGATTGACAAGTGGTGGTTCAATCTATATACTGAGCAAATAATCTGATAAACTGGTGACTACAGAATTTGAGGAAGGTTTTTTAGCAACCTACAATATGCAGATAATACAGTATGCTTGCTGAATGTGAGGAGGATGTGAAGCACTTAGGGATGAACGTCAACAATTGCAGCCTTCAGTACAGATTACAACTCAATATAAAGAAAGCTAAAGTCCTCAAAACTGAACCAATAGGTAAGATCATGATAAACAGAGGAAAGACTGAAGTTGTGAAGGATTTTCTGAAGAATGGAGCCATTGCACTCTGTTCTCTACGGCCTCTGGGAGTCAGAATTGGCTAACTGGCCATGGGCTGTTTTTGTTTTGTTGTGTTTGTATTGCTTGTTTTCTTTTCACAATGATGTTGAACATATTGTCACATATCTTCTATAAAGGAATATCTCTTCAAACATTTGACCCATATTGTAATTGGGTTATTTATGGTTTTGTCCTTAAGTTGTATAAATTCTCTACGGAGTCTGAATAATAGGCCTTTATCAGATATACAAACTGAAATATTTTCTCTCATCCTGTAAGTCATCTTTTCATATTCTACTGTTCCATAATATACACAAGTTTTTCATTTTAATGATGCCTATTTATCTATTTTCCCTTGTTGCTTGTGCTTTTGCTGTCATATTTGAAAATCCCTTGCTAATTCTAAAGTTCTAAAGATCTTCCCAATGCAGTTTTACAAATTTTATTATTTTTGTTCTTATAATAGATGTATTTGAGTTTATTTTCTTAAATGACGTAAAAAAAGTGAACATTGTCATTTTGCGTGATTGTAACTATCGTTTCATTAGTGACATTTTTTGAAGAGACAACATCGTCTTCATTAAATTGTTTTAGAATGTTTGCCAACTATCCATTGACCAGAGATGCACGGCTTTATTTCTGGATTCTTGATTCAATTCTGTATGTCTATCTTTCTATCCATACCATAATGTTTTTATTTTTCACTTTTTAAATAGTTGTGAAATTGTGTGGTGTGCAAACTCTATCCATTTTCAAGATGACTTCTTAAAATTCCATATAAATTTTAGATAGGTTTTTCCAATTCTGCAAAAAGGGCCATTGAAATTTCAACAGTGAATGAATGAAATCTGTAGATTGTTTTTTGCAGTATCGTCATCTTAAAAATGTTAATATTTAATTGACATGAGATGTCACCATTTATTAGATGTTCTTTAATTTACTTGGAAAATATTTTGTAGTTTTCCATGTACACACTTAAATCTTTTTGTTTAAATTATTATTTAACCTTCTGATGCTATTGCACATTTAAATACTTCCACATTATTATCCACTTAGAGTGAATGAAAACAGACTAAATTTTAACCCATGCATCCTGAAAATTGCTGAATTGATTAATTTTAATAGCTTGTCTTTGTGAAGTGTCTAGATATTAGATTACAACCTTTGCAAACAGAGATATTTTATCAAAAAAAATTTTTTTTCATGGTCAAGTCAATAGTAACCCATTGAGGGTTTCAGAGACTATAACTGTTTACAGGAGTTGAAAGTTCGGTCTTTTCCATGGTGGTGGTTTCAAACTGCCAACCATGCTGATCACAGCTAAACACATAACCACTATGCCACCAAGGTTCCTATATACTTTAACTTCATCCTTTCTAATTTAGATGCCTTTTATTTCTTGGTTTTGCTTAATTATTCTATCTAGAATTCTCAGTACAACATAGAAAGTAAGTGGGAAACGTAGGCATGGGTACAGAGATACCTTGATATGGCTCTCCCATCCATAATCTTTGTAACTCTCACAAGCAACTTTCCTTCCTGATAAGTCTTGGTAAAAGAAGGTGGGGGGGAAATGTTGCCAGGTTATATAATTCAGCTGTGGGTGCTTACTAAGTTTTAATTCTGATTGTCATCTTTCTGGGGATAAAATTAACCCTCTCAGGAGCAGGAAGAGAGAGGAAGCGGCTCACTACCATCATGGTAACAGATCCAGGAGCAAAGCACTCTTTGGAATCCAAGATTTCTGCACACTAAACCTCCTTGATCCAGGTAACAACCATGACACAGAGAAGCAACATAGTAACAGCAGCAACAGAATGAAAAGTCAGAGCACCAAAACCAACTGAAGGATCAAAAGAGAAGGCTATTTCATGGAGTGGTGTGCCTCCAAGCACTTAAAAGGGGGAAACTAGATTTGCTGACCCCACGGAGCTAGAGTGCAGCACTTTTGAGCTGGGACTTCTGGTGAAGTAATGAGTCCTTTGGGCACTTTTTTGCAGCTCTAAAAGAATTGTGTAACATTGCTTGAGCAAAACAGAGGCCAGAACAATAGTCCTATGGCCAGAGAGAGGCGTACCTGATAACAGGACAGAGTGAGGCTGTCTTGACTATCATGTATCCCCACAGGTCTCACACAACCTTGCAACCTGTTAACTTCACAATAACCCCCATACGTGTGAGTATCCTCTTTGGTTTCTGTAGTGACAATGCAATGAACTTTGGAACTCAGCTGAGAAGTAGCAAGACAATTTGTGGCAAATGATTGATAAAGAAGGTTGGAAGGTGGGGACATGTCTGAGTCCAGGCTCTTAAGAATCATCCTTGGGCTGATACTGAGTTTGGTTTTCCTTCCCTCTTGTGAACTCAGAGGAAGTGAGATGGAGTTCCCACCCCATGTTTGCAGCATCCTTCCCCTTTTCATGACCTATGGAGGGTTATTTTCAATCAGTTATCATTCTGTATATTAGCTGTAGGCTTATTCATAGATGTGCTTTAGTATGTTTGAGATATTCCACTCCTGGTTTGTTGAGTGTTTCCACCAATAAAGGGTGCTGCATTGAATAAATTTTAAGAAAATAATGTTTTTATATTTATTATTAAAATATATTCAATAATCATACACAAATTCAATTTCTACATGTACAATTCAGTAGCACTGTTTACATACACCCTTATTTCATGAGTTATTCCCTAATTACATAAACTCACTGACCATTACATTTCTTATCTAATCTTTTGAGTTGCTATTGTCAGTTTAATTTTCTGTATATGGCTCTTAAAAAGAATCAAGTGCTCAAGGCATGTTGCTCTTATTAGTTAAGCCAAACTAATATTTGGTTTTGCTATTTTGAAAAGTTTAAAGATTATCTCAGGGCAATAGTTGCAGAGGTTCAACCAGCCCCTATGACTCAGAAAATTTGGATTCCATGAGATTTGAAATTCTGCTCTGTATTTTCCCCCATTTGACCAGAGCAGTGGTAGCTGAGCATTATCCAGCACTTCTGGTCAAGAACTGGAAAAGGAGAAAGTTGTTCATGAGGGAAGCACATTCAGTTTCCTTCCCCTCTCCCTAACTACCCTTCTTCCTCTGTGGCAGATAGAAACCAGCTGTTGTACGTTGGGTGGTTGCTTGCAAGCTTTTGAAAGGCAGGCACTAGGCGATAAACTAAGAAATAAAACAGAACACTGAAAAGCATTAGACCAATTACCTGCTCTGTCTCATGAAACTCTTAGCCCAAACTTCCAGACCAAAAGTCTTTACTTCACAATGTGTTTGCTGGTACATAAGCAGACTCAGCAGCTGCTAGCACTGTTGCTGTAGGTAGTTAATAGATCACATCACGTTTACCAATTTAATGTTTTAAAGGTTTACAACTTATTAACAGCAATTACATGAAGAAACAAAGGAAACCTATCTTAATCAGTGTGATTTCTTTCATTACTGTAAACCAACTCAGTATTCCAAAGCAAAATCCTTGCCTTCTTTTGCACTGATATGATCATGTGTGTCATTTTACTTTTCTTCCTATTACTATGCGTTACAGGATTCATTTTCATAAGTTGGATCTCTATAACATTATTGTGATAAATATCACTTGGTCATAATGTATTTAGTCATTCCCAATGTTCTGTAAGATCATGTTGCTAATACTTTATTGGGAATGTTTGGAACTATATTCATTCATAAGTGATATTGGTCTATAGGTTTCTTGTGATGTGTTTTTCTTGCATTTGTATCAGGATAATTCTGACCTCATAAATGGATTTACGAATACTTTCCTCCTTTTTCATTTTTTTGGAAGTGTTTGTAAAGGATTGGCACGGCTTTGTATTTAAATGAGTGAAGCAATTTGGTCCTGCACTTTCTCTATAGGTGTCTTCCTTCTCTGGTGCTGCCATAACAAAGTTCCACAAGTAAAATGCTTTAACAAACAGAAATTTACTTTCTAGTGGCTTAGGAGAAGACAGCATCCGTGTCTATTTTCAGTTCTGCCCTGGCCTCCTTGGTGATCTTCAGGTGGCAAGGAGCCTGTCTTCCTTATCTCTGCTGCCTCCCTGTGTGTAATCAGCTCTTACATTCATCTCAAAGGGGATTGATTTGAAAGTTACCCTACACTGAAATGTCTTCTTAACAAAGAAAATCCATTCTCAAATTATAAGACAGCCACATGCACAAAGGTTGGGGTTTATAGCATATATTTGGGGGTGGAAGGACACAACACATGTTCAATACTAATTAAATCAACTGTTACACATTTGTCCAAATTTTCTGCTTCTTCTTGAGTCAGTGTCAGTGATGTGTATAGTTTCAAAATTTCTCCTGGTCTGATATCAAGGGCTCAATAGAAAGTAAATGTCTAGAAAATAATAATGGCAACATGAGTACAAATATGCTTGATACAATTGATGTATGGATTGTTTTTTGTTTGGTTTTTTTTCAATCTTTATTTATTTATCTATTTATTTATTTTAAAATCATTTTATTGGGGCTCTTACAGCTCTTATCACAATCCATACATCAGGATTATGATAAGATCTATAAGAGCCCCCAGTAAAATGGTCTTAAAAAAATTCTCCTGGAAATAAAATGCATTTCAGTTCTTAACAAAAAAATGGATTATTTAAAGCTACATTCAATTCTTATGGGAGAATTTTTTTTATAGTTCAAACATTTTGTGAAATATATATCCATTCTCTTATTCATTTACCTCACGTTTTTTAAAATAAAGATCTCTCAGAGTTTCAAGTTCCTGGTTCCGCTTTAGGTCCAATAGAGGGTCATGCGTAATCATGTATTCTATGTCTACTTCAATCTTTGTATTAGCTTCTTCTAGCTTTTTCTTCTGTTCCTCTAAAACTTGTAGTTGCTGACCTTTATTTTTGATGTGCCATTGTAATTCTATAATATCTCTTAAATGCATCTCATGTTCTAGAAAGAGAATAAATATTAAGACCAAAAAGTATCAGATTTGCAAGCATAAATATCATGAAGAAAATACTTGCTAATAACTATATGAAGTATTTTATTTACAGAAATTATGAGTTATTAAAATTAGAGGTAATTGTGAATTATAAGATGTACTGATTTTTTCATTGTCATGTAAATATTGCAATATATTTTGTAGACGTTCACCAATATTTTGGCATAGTTCCAGTTTACTTAAATTGATGTGACATAAGCGGGCTATGTATACCCATTGTGTTTGAGTGCATTCTGAACTATGGAGACCCTATTTATTACAGAAGATAATTAAAGCACCGAGTTTTCATGCCTGCAATCATTACAGTAGTAGATCGCCAAGCTTTTCTTGTTTGGTTCCACTAAATGGGGTTGAAACAACCACCCAAAGTTGGGTTCATAGGTGAGGAGAAAGCATTTGCACCACCAGGGGACCTTGGACTATGGAGATTCACTCTATGTAACTGCTCTGAGTGAAAAAAAGAATTGCAAACACCAAGGCTTTCCACAGGCACTTAACAAGTAAAAAGATGATATAAGAGTTACAACTACCAAAGTGGAAAGCAGAAATTGTTATTTTCTAATGAAATAATTTTATATCAAAACAAGTAAAATAGTAAAAATATTACAATTTGTATATAAAATATACAAATACAAATAATTATTTCAATATAAATGAGGAATATGTTGAAAACAGAATAATTTCATTAACAAAAATAAAAAATAAGACATTAAAGAAATGTACATATCTAGAAATAGTCCCAATATGAACATGTAAAGCCTATTGGAAGAAAATGCAAAGTACTATCAAGCAAAGCAAAGCAGATTGCATAAGTATATAAAATATGTCCTTCTATATGAACATATTTGAAATTTTAAGTATGAATAATTCTCTTAATTTATTAACTAGTTTAATTAAATCACAATGAGTGAACCCATATAACTTTAGAAAAATAAACGTATTTTCTAAGTTACTACTGTTAAACCAACATTACATTCTAGAAATAAAATCAAATAAAATGAAATTTTAAACCAACAATATTTTCTAATGTATCTACCTTATGAATTTTATGAATTTATATTTCCAACTGAGGTCTATAATATTCCATTTTCTTGGTACTGTTTTTTCTGATTTAGGTTTATAGATTATGGGAGTTTCATGTATTAATTGGAGAGCTTCTTTTTATTATACTTTTTCTCTGAAATGTGTTCATTTTTAAAATTTAACATAAAGCCTTATTGCCCTAATATATATTTCAACACTGACCACTTGGGTGACCTTTCTTACTTACTGAATCAATATATTTCCTTTTTAAAATATATTAATAGTTTACTTCACAATTTATTCTTCATAGAATTTAAAGAAGAAATATATTGATTTACTAACAGAAATGTTTATCCTCTCAAGTGAATAATTAAATATAGCAAAGACCATAGCATTCAATATGTACAACTCAATGTAAAGACCATCAAAATCTTAACAACTGGACCAGTAGATAGTAGGATCTCTCTCTCTCTCTCTGCCTGTCTGTCTGTCTGTCTCTCTCTCACTCGCTTGCTGCCATCAAGTCAATGCTGACTCATAGTGGGCCCCTGTGGGTTTCTGAGACTGTAACTATTGGCAGGAGTACAAAACACAGTCTTTCTCCTGTGGAGCTTCTGGGGGTTTTGAACTGCCAACCATGCAGACCACTGCCCAATGCATACCACTATACCACCAGGGTTCCTGGATAACATGATAAATAGAGGAAATATTAAACTTGTCAAGGATTTCATCTGCCTTGAATCCACAAACAATATCATTGGAGCAGCAATCAAGAAATCATAGGATACATTGCAATGGACACCTCGTCTGCACAAGACCTCTTTAAAGTGTTGAAGAGCAAAGCTGTCCCTTTGCGGTCTAAGCTGTGCCTCGTCCAAACCCATGATATTTTCAACCAACTCATATGCATACGGAAGTTGGACTTTGAATTAGGACATGTGGGAAAAAATATATGCATTCGAATTATCGTGCTGGTGAAGAACATTTAAATACTCCAGACTGCCAAGAGAACAAACAAATCTGTCTTGGAGGAAATATAACCAGAATGTTCTTTGGAAGCTAGGGTGGCAAGACTTCATCTCAAATACTTTAGACATGTTGGCAAGAGAGATAAGTCCTTGGAAGTGAACATTTTGCTTGGTAAAGTGGAGAGGCAATCCAAAGGAGGAAGAGCCACAAGGGCATGGATCTGCGCAGTGGCTGCATCAATGGGTTCAGTTAACAACTGGAAGAAAGGCACAGGGCCAGGCAGCATCGTTCTCTGCTATGCACAGGCTCACTGGGAAGTAGCATCAACTTGAAGGCACCAGCAGCAATCATTCTTTAACTCATTCTTAAATAGATCTATGCTTTTTATGTAGCTTTTTAATTATTTAAATCATTTTATTGGGGAAATGTATTTATTTTAACCATGTTTCAATAATTTTGTAAGAAATTTTTTCTTAAGTATTTTTAACCACTAAATAAATATCCCTTTCCCGTTTCCACTTCTACTCTGTTTTTTATTGACACAATTCTCTGTTGCTATTGGGTTGTTGATGCCTTGTTATTATTAATTTTGCTGTTTACTTTCAATTACTCTTTAAAAAATTTTTTAATAAGCCAAAATTTATTCTTCATCTCCCTTATATATTTATTGAAATTGTCAAGGATTTCATCTGGCATGGATCTGCAAACAATACTAAAGGAAATATTAAAAATTATATATTTCTTCATTATTTTTCCACTGTTACTGCTTTTCTTCTTTTTCTTTGTATTTATTTTTCTCCTGTTTTTATGAATTCATGTTATTAGATAATTATGACTCATTATTTGTGACTCATACACTTAAGTAATTTTGTGTCATGCTAAGGGGACCCTTGTGGTGTAGTTGTTGTTGAGCATTGGCTGCTAACCACAGTTCGAAACCACCAACTGCTCTGTGGGAGAAAGATGGAGCTTTCTCCTCTTGTAGAGGTACAGTCTTGGAAACGCACATGGGGCATGTCTACCTGCTGCATAGGGTCACTATTAGCCGCCACTGACCTGATAGCAATGAGTTTGGCATTTCTTGGTGTCATTCTAACAATTTAAGTTTTTTAATGATCATTTTAAGTGGTATATATTTTAATATCTCTAATATTTAAATTGTGTTCAATGTTTACAAAAAAGTGGGTGAAGGGAGACGCTGGACAGGGCAAGATATGACAAAATAACAATTTATAAACTATCAAGGGCTCAGGAGGGAGGGGGGAATGGGGAGGGAGGGGAAAAATGAGGACCTAATGCCGGGAGTTTAAGTGGAGAGAAAATGTTTTGAGAATGATGAGGGTAATGAATGTACAAATGCGCTTTACACAATTGATGTGTGTATGGATTGTGATAAGAGTTGTATGAGCCCCTAATAAAATGATTTTTTTTAAAAGAAACATAATTTTCTTGGTCTTTATCATTATTAGTTAGACACTTTTTTTCTCAAAGAGTCAGTCATGGAAAACATAAGGGCGAGAGAGAGTGTGTGAGTATACTCATGTACTTATATAGGTTTTATTGTATGTTAAATCACTTTAGCCACAATATATCCATGATGTGGTGGAATATATGGGGGATAAAGTTATGAAAACTTATTAGACACAGCCCATCACTTGTGGGAACAAGGCACTGGGCCTGAGGATCACTGGTGCAGTCTTAGGAGACACCAAGATCAACTGGCATGACATAATTCACAAAGACAATATTCTACATCCTTCTGTAGTGAATGGCAACTAAGGTCTTTAGAGCTCATGAGTAGTGATCTAAGATACAACTATTGGTCTCTATCCAAAGGAAATAAAACGATGAAAATCAAAGACATATGGAAACAGTAAAATGGACTAATGGAACATACAAACATCAATCTCCACAGCACTGAGACTAGAAAAACTAGACAGTGCCCAGCTACCACTGCTTTGAAAAGAAGGCTCTGCATAGAGATGGTGAAAATGTGGAATAGATCTCATCATTGTAAAAGATACCGGGCTTACTGTTCAAATAGAGACTGATGGGAACACCAATGATTGTGGCCCTGTGGTAGTGATACAATCATTTGTCAATTTGAGGATTACGAGTACAGGAGTGGAGTCTAGGCTCTTAATCAGGATATGGCCAATGAGATCTCTGTGTGTGGGCATGGCCTTCCCCTGAGAATTCTGGAAATCCTGATTTTCCTCCTTGGAGGCGGGAGACACTTCTTTCTCTCTGCGACTCCCTGAGAGACACTGCAGTTGACAAGACACATGGAACTACCCTAGGGGCCTCAGCCGGACAAGCCACGTAGATGCAACCAGACCTCTGAAGCCAGAGAAACTACAGAGAGACCCCTGCCAGCACTGAGATGCTTACAATGCCACTGGACTCAAAGACGTTCTACCCACTGGCCTGTGATTATTCTGCATTTGGCATGATTGCATGTGTTTCGTGAGTCTGAAGAGGGCTTTATAGATTGGTAACAGACATATGGGCTAGTATCGGACTTAGGGACTTGGACTGGACTGTGTTGGGATGTTTTCTTAATGTACAATTCCTCTTGTATATAAACCTCTCCCTTAAATACATGTGTGTGTTTATGAATTTGTTACTCTAGCCTACCCAGACTAACAAAGGCCTCTTACTCTTCAATTATAGAACTGAACTTAACTCCATGCTCGATCACCCAATCATGTAAGATAAAAAAGGCAGCATTTACTCAAAGATTATATTCAGAAGGTTAGAGAAGGAGAGAAGGAAATAGAAAACATAGGCAGAAAGGAAGTGGAATAATTAGTGGTACATTGAGGGAACTACAATGACCATTTAAATCAGAATGTGTATATCTTGTTGACTATAAAACTATGATATGATTTGTAAGCGTTCATTCCATGCCCTCTGATCATAGTCAAGAGAGGTGAATAGCCTTACTACCAAACAA